ATTTGCATCAAACCGACTCAAATCAATTTGAACCGCCTGTTGAACCAAAAAACTAGTATAATCAATGTCAATTTTATATTACCAAACATTTTTTAGAAATTATTTAATTGTAGTTAATTATCTTTTAAATAATAGATTTTATTTTATTTAAACCTTTTAAAATTTTGAATATACTTTTTATTAAACATGTAGATGAACTTAGGCATTGTATATACAAGTCATCTCACTTAACAAGTCTTTTGGTAGGTTGTGTGTACTTTTAAACTAGGTCAAGACAACTCTCTTAAACTCTTCTATGATGTGGGAATAAAAAAGTTTCATGAAGCCATGAATAAGATATTGGTTAGAATGAAAATTTGGGTTGAATTGGGTTTGGGCTTATTTGGGCTGATTTGTGCTATAAAAAATAATTGTATCTATTAATTAGTGTTAAATTTTTTTTATAAATAATTTTTAGATATAGATTTGATATGTAACATATAGATGTAAACACCGGCGGAGGGAAGGGGGGGGGGGGGGAACCCCGGGGGGGGGGGAGCGGTCTTCCCCCCCCCCCCCCCCCCCCTTCAAAAAATAGGGAATCTATAGATAAATTAGAGTTGGAAACTTCAAAAATTAAATCGGAGACCATCTAAACTCCGATTTCAGAAAACTTATAGTCGAACTGAACGTCTCAAAAATACGAACCCAACGGCACCAAATTCTACTCAATCCGAACCCAAATGACTCCAAATCAAAGACCTGAAGTATATTTGGAAGGTTTAAACCATAATTTGGATTATCAAATGGTTTCCAAACATAACATGCTTATAATAGAGTTGAGCGGCTAGACGAGACAAATCCAACGAGCCCACGATTGCCAAATTCTAATTCAGTAAGACATTTAATTTCCTATTCATTTACATTTTTTTTCTTGATTGATATTAGCTTAATCTTGCATTGATTCGATCTTAAAGAGATTTTATGATTTTTTTGTGCAATGAGATTTTTAATATCACATATTTAGTTAATATATTGAAGTTATTCTAGCATGTATTGAAAGTCATTTTGAGAAGGAAAAAAATAAACTAACTAACTATCAAAGTTTTATCATTTTTAAAGCTTATTATATCGGTCCCAAGTCCGGATATAAAAAGTTGAAGCAAATTTTTTAAAAAATTATAATTTAAGCCCCCTCTGAAAACAATTTTCTGGCTCCATCGTGACTTCAAAACCCGCTCAGGTTTCAAAAACACGCCCGGCTGCGGTAGAACTTTGTCGGCGCTCAAAGTGGCGCAAAAGACTTTCTCAGCCGAAGGCATCCCATATGCGTTTGTCGTGCATCGTGGAAGGTTGTACAGCGCTCCAAATTTTATGCCATCACATCTCATGGAAGCCGACAGGTAAGCGACAGCAAACCCTAGCAGCTGAGGTGTGCCTATCGGGAATCGACCTTCACTCTGGCACCGCAACGACAACCCAGCTATTTCCTGCCATGGACGGTGAGGGGAGATACTATACGGCTGGAATTCAGACTCCGGCCAACTTGACTATGTCATCGACAAGAAAATCAGCAAGTGCTTCTCCATTCCAGATGCAGCGAAGCTTGCAGGAATTGCATTGATATGCACAAGTGAGATTCCAAGCCAGAGACCAACAATGGAGGCTGTGCTTCAAGAACTAGGAAGTAACTGATGCTTCAATTTCTAACTGTACTGATCTTTTGTAATTGTAATCAACTTTTTTATGTATCTGCCTGTTTTGATTTTGTAGCATTTGGCAGAGGATGGTCTATGTAATATGAACAGTTATGTGCAAAAAAAAAAAATTCTGGCTCCACCCTTAGATGTAAAATATATTTAAACATATAAGAATCTAATATTAATTAATAAAATTTATATTAAATTCATAAACTTATATTTGAATTAAATTTATATAAAATAGTAAAATATTATGTTAATTTAATTAATTTTAATAATATTATTATTTACTACATCATCTGATTCGACCGGTCAAACCGTGAACCTCTCATTCTTCCAGTTTGTTGTTCGATTCGGTTTTCACAACCTTGGAGTATATTGCTATCACTAAGGTTAGTAAGGATATGATATAGATGCAAAATTTCTCGGCAGAACTTAACAAAGGGCAAAGGAATGAGAAGTTGCACAACATGAGCACTATTTATTTAGCTAAGAATGTTGCATTACATGCCAAGAAGAAACAAATTCAGCTTTATTATCATTTCATCATATTGCTTCTGGAAGATGTTTAGTTATCTTTGGAGAAGATACAAATGACCCATAATCCTACAAACATGCTAACAAAGATGGTGACAGTTGATAAACTGAAGCTATGTGTACCTACAGTTGATAAACTAAAGTTAGTCATCATGAAAGATGAGAGTAGGGTTGAGCCATCCTATTGGTACTATGATTGATATTACATATAAAAAAAAGGATTGATTGTAATCAATTTCCAAGTGAGAGATTGTTAGTTCTACGTGGAATTAGATTGTTTTCATCAATTGAATTGTACAGTTGCCTCGAACCTCAATTCAATATGTCGAGCTCACTGGGGGCTTGCAAGGAGTCCAACCTCTACTTGGGTTATGGTGTTTCACTTTCAAAATTTTTCGTACAACCGAACAACACTATATACTCGAGCGCTGCGATACTATATAGTTTGCTTGGAGACAAACATAGAGTGGATTACTGTAGCGCCCCAATCCCTGATGCTACCAAGGAGCACTACGACGCTCCAAACCCTGGCGCTATAGTGTTGTCAGGCAAACTAAAGATAGGGAGTGGCACTGCGAGACGGGCTAGCAATTTTTTTGCTCGTTTTCTCATTAAAGGTTGCATCCCTTGGTGGTTAGTAGGGATTTCTCTTTTTTTGTTCAAGTAAGAAAACAATGCAATGGTGATGAGAGAAAGGGAGAGTGAGAGAAAAGAAATATATATATTATTTTTCTCAAATTTTCAAAGTGAATTTTTTAGTGCGGTATGATTCCATAATTTTTTGCCTGATTTTAGATTTTTCCATGTTAAATTTTTAGTTTTTTTTTTCATTGTATTTTATCATTCTTATTTGTATTCGCTGCATATTTTACTTCCCCGTCACTCAATACAGCCAGTCATCAGCACTTGTCAATATATAGGGGTGTCAATTCGGGTCAACCCGTCGGGTTCGGGTCGAACCCGACCCGACCCGTATATAAACGGGTCAACCCGAACCCGACCCGTTTTTATAAACGGGTCGAACATTCCAACCCGGACCCGACCCGAGCGGGTCACGGGTTGACCCGACACGACCCGTGACCCGGTTTTTTCACTCGCGGCTGCGAGGCAGCGGCGGCAGCGCGGTAGCGGCGACGTCGCGGGCGCGGCAAGCAGGCGCGCGGGCAACGCGGCAAGCGGCGGCAAGCGCGGCACGCTGGGCAGCCCGGGGCCGGCAGCGAGGCGCGCGGCACGCATGGCAGCGGCAGCGAGCGGCAGCCGCGCGCGGCACGCGGCAGCGAGGCGCGGGCACGCGGAGGGCAGCGGGGCAGCGCAGGGCAGCGGGCAGGCCGGGCAGGCGTGGCAGCGGGCAGCGCGCAGAGGCAGCTGGCAGCAGCGGGATTGAGCGGGAAAATTTCATTTTTTAAATTAAATGGGTTTTCGGGTTGACCGGCAACCGCCGGGTCAACCCTACCCGACCCGTTTTATTAAACGGGTTGAATCTGCAAACCCGGACCCGACCGTTTATCAAACGGGTCGGTCCAACCCGGATTTTCCGGGTCGGGTCCGGTCGGGTTGTCGTGTCGTGTCAAATATATACTCAAAGTAGTGCAGACATCTCTTCATGAGTATAACAAACTAGCTCAATTCATGCACACTCCATCGGAGAAACATTGATCTTGCATCTAAAAGCCTTTTTTTATACTTAAAAATCCATGCTTCATAATTTTATCTTCAAGCGAATTCAGGAAACTCGTGTTTGCACCAATCTACCAGGACGCCAACTTAGAAGGAAATTGTGAATGACCGCACTTCCATTTTCGGCATCCTTGGTATTCCTCAGAGATTTTCATTTTATAAATTTTGTTTGGGACGGCTTTTTGATTACTTCTTAAAGCAACTTTTTTAGTTAAAAATTAAGGTGCGTTTGGGACGCTATTTTATTGCTTTCTAAAACGGAGTTTTAGTACAAAAATAAAAAATTTGTACTAAAACTCCGTTTTAGAAAGCAATAAAAAAGCCGTCCCAAACGAAGCCTAAATTTTTTGTTATTAAAAAACTGCTTCAAGAAGCAACAAAAAAGTCGTCGGCAAACAAAACCCTAGTGTTCTCAAAAGTCAAAAGATAAAACAGTTGCACGATTCTTAACTAAAGGGCCAAAATGTCAATCACAACCTGAAATTCTTTAGATAAAAAATCTTATTAGCGAGCTTTATGTTACCCTTTCATCAATTCTGGAATTTTTTTGAGACGATATGATTTGCAACATGGCTCTCAATAAGGAAAAAATATTATGTGCATGTGTCCGGACATTTCCGGAGGTCAATACGGACACGCCACCAATGCACTGGATGATTGTGCACGTCCAAATTGACCTCCAAATGCATTCAGAATTGCACAGAATAATCTCTCCTCATAAATCAAATTTTATCATTCTATTTGCAATCACATTGGTCAAGATGCCTTCAGTGTATTGCACATCTCTTTTTTTATATATAAAATTTTTATACTTAAAAAAAAAAAAAAAAAAAGTTGTTTAAGAAAACATATTGAAAATTTTCCAAAACAAAATCTTATTATTATTATTATTATTATTATTATTATTATTATTATTATTATTATTATTATTATTATTATTATTATTTTTAAAACATAATATTATAGTATCATATCCAAATATACCTATCCTATATTTCTAATAATAGATATCTCCCATGTCAATGCCTTAATTTTGACTAACAAAGAACCTACTTCAGGTAATGGAAAAAACATAAAAACCTGGAAGGTTTGAACATTCAAATCATTGCATCTTAATTCTATATTATATTAATATTTTTCAAATGAGCCAGTTCACGAGCTACCAAGTCAAGTTGGTGCTAGCTCAAGCTTAGCTTGTCGAGCTCAGCTCATGATCTATTCATTAAGCCAAACCCAAACTAACTCACAAATTAGCTTGAATTACAACCCTAGACAAACCCTTATCATATGAGCTACAAAATCATGGACAAATGATAATCCTCCAAACAAAGAAAAGTTGAAGAACCTTTAATTATAGTGATCACAAAACGCACAACAAGAAAAAATATGGAACACAGAAGTTTCGTTTACAGCAGAGAACTCGCCGTCTACCTAAGATGACGTAGGTGCATCCGGTTGGTTTGTCGGAAGAGCAGCAATGAAAGCAGGATGCTCATCATAAGCTTCCTTGAGCCTGGCGAGTGTTGGGTAGCGACCCTGAAAAGCAAGGAAAAACGAGCATCAGGAGCAGCTAATTGCACAAACATAAAAGAATAAAACCCGAGCATATGGTTATAGTTGCGCGTATTTGAGAAAGAGAAAAAGTTCAAAATAATTTCCCAATTATTCTTATGTGGACAATATAACCCGGCAGTATCACATTTTTTTTAATTTAATCCACCAACTATACAAAATTGATCTCAAAGAATCCTCGGGACTAAATTAGGATCAATTTTGAATCTAAATTCCCATCAATTTCTATGGGAGCAACCAGTTGGGACTAACTTTGTATGATTGAGAGACTATGGCTTCGTTTGGGATGATTTTCTTACTGCTTCTTAAAGCAGCTTTTTAGTACAAAAATCAAAACTTTTGAGCTAGAAAAAGCTACTTTAAGAAGCAGTAAAAAAGCTGTCCTAAACGAAGCCTTGGGACGGCTTTCTTCTTTCTTTTTAAAACAACTTTTTAGTACCAAAGTTTCTTAAATTTGAAATTTTTGTACTAGAAAGCTGTTTTAAAAAGCAGTACGAAAGTTGTCCCAAACGAAGCCTAAATTGAAGAAATGTGACACTTTAGAATTAAATTTGACACATCTTTTGAATTTTTTTCTCAATTGAGAAAATATAAATTGGAATTCAAATAGTTTAGGAATAATAGAATAATACTCGACAAAGAAAATTTGAATTGACACAGGGTTAAGCAATCGGAATAACCATGTCAATCTCGAACCTTGATGCTGTAAGGATCTGAGGAGCTAGAAATGCATCAGCCTGCATGGTAATGTTGAATTTTGTTAGCTTTTAAGGTATCCAGGCCACTTGTTCCTATTAAGACATCCACTGAAAAACTAAGATTATTTTCTCGTGTCGAGTTGAAACTGCAGCAACAACGATCACTATAAAGCATACAAAATGATGAACAGTAATAAACTAGAAACGGGGCTGAAAGGGTTTTTTTCTGAAGTTAGAACCCTAAACTAGAAAATAAAATCATAGCAAAGGAAAACCTAAAATAGGACAAGTGAAGATGAAAAGGATGAACAGTAATAAGAACCAGAAAAATAAGTAATTAGCTACTATCTTTATGTAGGCTTTGAAACATTATCATCTTTTCAATATTTATAAAGCTAGAACTTATAAACATATGCTATATATCATCAATAACTCATATATTTAATTCCAAGCTATTTAAAAGTCTCTACATTTTAAAACCACAATTATCTAGCATGCGATCAAAATTATCTTTTAGGAAATTTGATCACTCAATTGATAATCAAATGATCTTAGAAATTTTTAAAATCCTGTATACATGCTTCATGTTGTGTTTATGTGTCTACATAGATGCGGAAAAGAAACTATATGAAAACCTGAATTGGCAGAATGACAATGTTGGCAGACATACCAGTTGGGCTTCATCACTTGTGGCAAACTTTCCGGCAACATCTTTTAACAATTTCTCAAGGGCTAGTTCACAAGACATTAGGAAAAGGAAAATGCAAAAAATAAAAGCGTCAGAAAGAGGTCATGAAGGACATGCTAATGAGAACAAGATTTGTTTCTTTAAAGAATGAGGTGCCAACAACTTCATGAACCAAACCAACACAGAGCACTGCAATTACTCAGTAAGCAAGAGTCTAAACTTGATCCATTATTTTATTTCCAAAATCCATGACTTCCTAGCATCTAAACTGAGTAGATCATTTGACAGCCTTGGCTTGAGTCACTATGACCATTAAGTTTAAATTAATGATTTGTTGCATATGCCAAGTAGCAAAACATGGTGCTTCCAGAACTTATATCGCAAGCTAGTTAATCAATGACTTTGTAAGTGCTGCCAAAGCCACAGAAACAGGCAAGTCAAACAAGACTGTCATACCTATCACTAGATTAGGCGTCAAACATAAATCTAGGCCCAACTTAAAGAAAATAAGCTTGGAACTTCCAACTTAAAAAAATAAGATCCGAAGTTCTGGGATTAAGCTAGTAAAAAAAATCAAGGTTTAAACAGCCAAGTAACATGTTATAGTCATACAGTATCCCACAAACACTAAATATAACAATATTATCATGTTATATTCATGAACATTTGGAGTCATCTTCATGACTCCTTTTTTTTTTTTTTTGCTATTCTATGATGAAAGATTGTCGTTGCTAAGTCCTAAGTCTTGGATAAGAAGTATAGAGTTACATTAAATGGTCGACAGCCAGCATCTTGTCGAATAATAATGACATGAATTCTTTAATACATTGTGTTAATGATAGAGCATTTCCTGGAAGCGACGCACTATAGGGCATGAATACAGCGAGAAGTGCGCAAAAGTCGCTGCACAGGTGTTGCGCCCGGGTGTAGTGTTAAATAGGCAAGAGTTCCCACATCATGGGCAAATGTGGGAAAAGAGGCTAGTCCATGAAACTAAAAATAGGATAATAACTTGAAATTTAAGTTCCCATAAAGACAATTTAATAGAATTAATTAATAATATGAAGATAAATATTCTATGCATTCAAGAAACTAAATGAATTGGAGAGAAGGATAAGGAGATTGATAGTTTAGGATTTAAATTACGGTATTCTGGTAAGAGTTGTTCGTAATAGATAGAAATGATATAGACGTGATTATAAATAAGAGTTTGAAGAATAATGTTGTAAAAATTAATAGAATTGGAAATAGAATTATAGCTTTAAAGATTGTTGTTGTTGATAAAATTAATAATATTACAAGTATTTATGCTACTTAAGTTGGTTTGGATATATGTTTAAAATTAAAATTTTAGAATGACTTAAAAGAATTAATACAAAAGATACCTCCTGAAGAAAGAATTTTTATTTGAAGAAATTTAAATGGACATGTTGGTAGAGAGGTAGATAATTTTAAAAGCATTCATCATGCCTATGGATTTAGAGCGACTAATGAAGGTGGTAGGACCATATTAGATTTTTATAGCTTATCATTTTATAATTGCTAATATCTTATTTAAGAAAAGAGATGAGCATCTCATCACTTATTAGAATGGATATAATAAAACTCAGATTATTTTCTTATAAGAAAAATAGATCATTTAGATTGCAATGATTGTAAAGTTATTTTGAGAAATATTTATCTACCCAATATTACTTATTAGTTTTGTACTTTGAGATGAAGAGGCATAATATAAAAAATAATGTAAAATGTTATTATTAATTTTGGACTTTAAAGAATATTAATAAAAACTATTTGGAGAATAAAATTTTAAATCTTAAGATTTTTGTCTGTGTATGAGGAAGCTAATATTATGTGAGAAAAATAACTACTGAAATTAAGAATATTGCAAAAGATATTGTCGGAGTATCAATGGGAAAAGCTCCTAATAATAAAAATAGTTGATGGTGGAATCAAAATGTTCAAGAAAGGATAAAAAATAAAAAGATTTATTATAAAAATTAGTTTAGACGTAACAATATTGATAATTGGGAAAGATATAAAGTAGTCCGTAAGAAGTCTAAAAAAATAATATGCAATGCAACAATTTTAGCTCTTAATGATTTATATAATAGATTAGATACTAAGGTGGGCAAAAGATATATGTATAAGTTAGTCAAATAAAGAAATATTAGTAAGAACTTAGTTCAAGCACAGTACATTAAGGATAAATATCAAAAAGCATTTTTATTAGAAGAGGATATTCAACGAATGTGGATGACATATTTTGCAAATTTTTTAATGAAAATTGTGAGAATACGATTGACTTTAGCATCCGAAATAAAAATAAAGATTTTTATTTTTATCGGCGTATTAGTAAAACCGAAGTTAGAGAGGCTTTAAAGAAAATGAAGTGTGAAAAGCGGTTGGATCTGATGATATTCCAATAGAGGTGTGGAAATGCTTAGGAGATTGTTGACCCTTGTTATACCAAAAAAAAGAAGGAAAAAGGAAAATACCTTGCACAAATCCTGCAGAAATCCCGCCACTTGCTACAGGACCATTCTCTGCAAACGGTGCCGAACCAGTCCGGATATCCTGCGAGATCATCTTGTTTCTATCGCTGCTCTTGTCGATAAAAGGAAATGAAACCACCGCTCATTTCCTTCTTCTGCTTCTACCAAGCCATCCCCACACATGTGAATCTTCCATCTCTTCTCGGCAGATCCCGCAACCTTCCCTGTTTTCGACTCTGCTAACACCTCCCGACCTCCTCTCCATTTCTCGAAGCTGAAACCTCCTCATCGACCTCCTGCGGAAAAAAATCGAATCCAAACCCTTACATATAGTCGGTCTTTCCGCCTGCTTCAAGTCCCACTCCCGACGTCAATCCCACTCCCGAACCCTTCAATCCACAGAGATAGATAGGGCGAGAAAGAGAGTGAGGACTTTTCTCTAACCTAACCGAAGCTTAAACCTTGCCTTCCTCCTCTCGTCGCCTCCTTTACTCGAGCCGACGACTCCAAGGCCTGGACTCCACTGCCGCCCTTCCTCTCTGCCTGACCCCGATCTCACGAAGCCCGAACCCCCCATTTAAGTCTAAATAATAATTCATTATTATTAGTTATTAGTAAATATATTTAATCATAATTATTTATTAGTTATTATCAATCATGTCTAATTATTATTAATTATATTTAATTATGATTAACTATAATTAATTGATATTAATTATAATTAAATATTGTTAATTATTATTAATCAGAATTAATTATAATTGACTATAATTAGTCATGGCTAATTGTAATTAATTAAAGAGAATTGCCTCTCTTGCCTTGATCCTCGTGCTACCAATACCGCCGCCACCGGTTCACATGCAAAGGTATAATTCCTAAACCCTAAAACTTTGAGAACCTGCTTTCGATGCTTGCAAGGCGATAAAAAGACCACCTATACACGTTTTTCTTAGCGTGGTGGGAGGAAGTTCGTCGCAGCGCTCTCGACGAATTGGGTGATCACCTAAAATCCCTTCTTCGGAGTTCGTGGCGCACCAGAAAATTGCCTATGCACGCTGTTCTTAGCGTGGTGGGATAAGAAACCGATGCGATGCGTAGGACAAAGTGGGGATACTCATAAGTACCCGCTTGCGGGGAAACAATTGCTTTTCTTTTGCAACAAGTACCGAAGACCCAAACATGTTTTTCTTAGCGTGGTGGGGGACGAAAAAATACGGCCACGGTGTCCTCATCCGAGGACACCTACCATACACACTTTTCTTAGCGTGGTGGGAATGCCAAGTTTTCCATAGTTTTTCCCCTAAACGGGAGAGACGTCGGGAGGCTGCCGAAATTTCGGGTGAACATAAGACTGCATGTGGACCTGATTGAACTTAAATGACAGCATGACTTGTGAACTTGAACTTAAACAAGCTAAGCAAAGAACTTGAAGATAAATATGATTTGGACCTAAATGAATTCAAACTTGAACTTGATTTGAATTTTAAATGAATATGATTTGGGCAATTTTGACTCAAATTCATGTGGACAAGACTATGCCTGGACATTGAACATGAACTGGAATTGAACTCAAGCAAAGAGTTTGTATTTTGATTACAAAGGAATTGGACTTGAATTCAGAAGGGAACTACAAAGAGCATAAGTCAAACTAGAACTTGAACACATGGAACTTTTGGACTTGATTTGAACATCAAAGAACTAAATTAAAATTTGAATTAAGTTGCAAGAAATTGAATTCCAATATGATAAATATTTGAACGAAAATAAAGATGTTAAAATCGAGGGATGATTTTAATTATTCAAATGCACTCGAGAGCATGTCAACAATCAAATGAAGGAATTCCAAAGGCATGCAATGATGTGTCTATGATCGGTGTAGTGATGCATTTGTGAGCGACAACTACATATAAGCTGTAAATGTGATGATCCCTGCCCAAGCAATATCAGCTCGCAAGTAAATTCATTGAATATATGCGAGTAGGAGAGATAACACATGGTAAATATGATAGCTTCCAACAATTGTCCAACATCAATCAAGTATGCTAGCTTCCCACAAATGAGAGCAGATGATATGCAACAAAATGCAAATGTCTACAGGATTGTAGGAAACCCATCATACGCACTACATGCTATTTGCAAGAAAACACACAAATGCAACATGTGATAAATGCAAGGATGTCCATGCAATGAGTATATCGATATTCTACAAGAAGCTTATAAATGACATCACAAGACTTGCCTACGTTTATGTGTAGAAGACTTGTAATGAACATATGATGTAAACGACGGTACACCTACAACTCGCTTATGATTAAAAGAACAAGAATGATATATCTACGATAAGTATGACGATCCACTTATTGAAGGAGTATGATAATCCACTTATCAAAAAGGGGACATGATGCATGTGATGAATATATTAGTCAACATATTCGTGATACATATAATGAGCTACCCACTGACTAGTGTGCATGAGAAGGTCAGTGACGAATGCAGTGACGCCCTACAATCAACATCGAGATGCAAATAAGTGTACCCAAGCTTACAAG